ATAAGAATTCCTGTCTCACCAAGGAAACAAGAATCTGAAGCGAATATCTCAACAAAGTGAGATATCGGCTCTTCCTCTCATCAGTTCTAGGACTGACTTGTCGAGTGATTCTAAAAACTATTACAATGGCCACAAACACAAACAAACCAATTTTACGTGGTTTGGCAAACTGCCTACGTCCACGGGGCAAGGAGGGGGAGATCTACTATTAGAAAGAAAAAGAATACAAATGGGTTTACAACTCTCACAATCTAAACCCTCAAATAAACTCTCAAATCCCTCACAATATCTCTCTACAAAAACACAGCCGCAAAAAAGATTTTTTTCTCCTCTGCACGAAGCCTTGTACTTTCTGTAATTTTCTCTTCTTTTGCACGCAGTCCAAGCTTCTGTCTCTACACAAAACTTCTGCAACCGCCTCTTTTTTTTCCCTTTCCCCGCTCCCCTGTTACACGGCTTCGCACCAAACCCTAGGAACAGTGCTCGTTCCTATATATAGCCTGTAGCGGAGAAACCGTCTCGTGATCACAAGACTTCTTCACGAATTATTCGTGGCCCCCACTTCGTTTATTCACACCTGTCTCTTCACGCAGCGTAAACATCTCTTCACGTGGCCCCCACGAGAACACGAGAAACCGTGTCTTTAGCTGCTCAACATCGTGGCCCGCTGGACTTCTCTTCAAGGCATCTTTTCACGCGTCCTTGCTGACTTCATGGCCCCCCCACAAGCACATGCTTCACAAATTTTCACCTCGACGAAGTTTTCTCAAAACTGAGCCGACACCAACCAAACTAAATATCTCATTTGTTGCGTCTAGTACGAAGTGAAATAATTCACGACAACAGACTCAATCCACAACAAGACGAGAACCTAAATGAGAATGCGAACACTCTCCAAATGTCGGTATCAACTCACCAAATCTATCTCACCCCCATCAAAATCCAACCCGGCTGCATCATAAGACTGTCTACGTATCCTCTTGCCCAAGGAATCAAGCCGAACGTAGTTCATCCAAATGGTCACGAACGACCTCAATCCAATAGAAGAGTTCGCAACCCTTCTCCAATATCATCAACTCTGTGACTGATAGCACCTCCAATGACCTCAAACATCTCCACCTGAAGTGAACCAATGGTCATATCCAAACTACATCTATCAGCTGCACTCGAATCAAAACTCAACTCATCATCTGCATCCAAAACAAATTGATCCCTTAACTGTGTCACCTCAGCTGGAATCCCAAATAATGCAGTATGATCTGGAGTAATCTTCACCCCATGTGGAGTAGCATCCATCTCCACCCGCTGCGATACATCTAAGGTCTGTCCAAAACTCTCCACCTGCTGAGAGTCAATTGGCTTCCTCATCGAAGCCTCATCCAAAATGACACAATCAGACCTATCTTCCAATAGAGTTTTACCTCTAATCACAGCAGTTGACAACTCTTTAATAGGATGACTCAAATATGTCGAAGCCTCAGTCCAGAACCTCTTCTGCAAACCATTGCTCGACCATAAACACCGGTCCTCCTTCAGCAAGGCATGGTCTTCCAAATTTGTCACCCTATCTAGTTGCCCCAAGATTTCCTTTCCAACGAAGTGTCTCGAAATGCCGTGAGCTCGGCTCCAATGCAGAAACAGGTCCATCTTGTACCTCCCATTAAAACCAGAATAGAGTACCTTCACCTTTCTGTCTATCACACACTTCTTCAATCTGTTGCATACTACTAGGACTTTCTCCAAAAGAGATTTGGTTGCAACCCAAACACGCCTAGAACAGTCACCAACAAAGGAAACCAAACGCCTATTACCTCCCAATGATGCCCCCTTGGAAGGCCCCCAAACATCCACGTGAACTCTTTTAGAACGACCCTTAGCACGGTGAATAGAGGTGCCACACTTTACCTCGGTCTTCTTGCTCACATCAACATGTTCACTGGACTTCAAACTGTAGGTCTTCGCACCATCTTTCAATCTATGCGAGGAATCATTACTGGAATGGCCAAGCCCCAAATGCCACAGTCTAGTCGAATCAATAGAAGTCGTCAGTTCTCCACCTGCCACTATACCTCCAGTCAAGTAATTCAGGTTATTCCTCCTGACACCCTTCATCACAATCCGAGAGTCTTCCACAATCTTGAGAACCATATCCTCAATTCAAACATTCAGATCCTCTCTAACCAAATCTCCAATCGAGATCAAGTTCTTTCTCAAAGAAGGAACATATCTCACATCATTCAACTCCCTAACAGTCCCGTCAAATAATTTTATGTGAATTCTTCCTATCCCACGGATCTGGCATGCACGGTTATCAGTCATGTACACCACACCACTATCCAGCTTCCCAAAACTGGAGAACTATTCCTTTCTAGGGCACACATGATAGGTCGCACCACTATCCAACATCCACTCGGATTCCTACGAATAGCTACATGTAGGACTGATAGATAGCGAATAAATAGAAGAGTCGGAAATATTACCATCCGATACGATGTTTGCTTTTGATGATGGTTGCTTTCCTTTTCCCTTCTGCTTATTCTTCATCCATTCGTCGAGCTTTGGGCAGTCTTTCTTCCAATGACCAGTCTCCTTGTACCAAGCACACTGATCTTTTCCAATTCTAGACTGTGACTTCCAATTCTTTCGGTTTGGACCCTTCCCTTTTGCGGCCAACGCCTCTGCTACCGACTCAGTCGAAGTCTCCTTATCCTTCTTCCGAAGCTGATAATTCATCAGTGCAGCAGTGACCTCACTATACGAAAGAGACGTCTTCCCATTAATTAGAGTAAGGACGAAGGTCTCATATTCCTCGTCGGGCAAAGAACTTAACAACAGCAACGCCTTATCCTCATCTTCAATCATGACATCCACATTCGCCAAATCCGCAAGAAGCTTCGTGTAGTGGTTCATGTGATCTCTTGTTTGTGTCATTAAACTTCTCCACATCTATCTTCATAGAGTGAATATTCAAACTCTGAATGGTCTTCATTCCAGAAGCACCACCCTCGACACCCGAAGCACCTTCTTTCCCCGATATCTTTCTCAACGCACCAACGAACGAAGAATAGATCCAAAACTAAAAAGATAGAGTCTTTTACCAAAAGCTTCAAATGCAAGCGGTTCTCAACACTCTTTGTCAGATACTTGTTTTTGAGAATCTCCTAAATCTTCTTTGCAGAAGTCTCATTCATCACATTATATTTTAGATATTGAGTCAAACAAGACCTAATCACACCACACGCCGTTCGATTCATCTTCTTCCAAATCTTCTCTTCAATCTCATCTGGCTTGTCATCTAACTCCAAGGTATCCTTCAAATTCTGCGCGTTCAGCACATCCAAAACCTCGCATCTCCATAATCCAAAGTTGTTTGTGTCATTAAACTTCTCCACATCTATCTTCATAGAGTGAATATTCAAACTCTGAATGGTCTTCATTCCAGAAGCACCACCCTCGACACCCGAAGCACCTTCTTTCCCCGATATCTTTCTCAACGCACCAACGAACGAAGAATAGATCCAAAACTAAAAAGATAGAGTCTTTTACCAAAAGATCCCACCTTTATCACCAAACAAAGTCCTAGACGAGCTTTCAAATCGATCTACTCCTCCAAATAGCCCAAGCGTAGCCCGAGCTCTGATACCACTTGTTGTGCGCAGCGAAAATTTCGGCAGAGTTTCTGGTGCACAATAAGAGAAATATCCCAATAAGAATTCCTGTCTCATCAAGGAAACAAGAATCTGAAGCGAATATCTCAACAAAGTGAGATATCGGCTCTTCCTCTCATCAGTTCTAGGACTGACTTGTCGAGGGATTCTAAAAACTATTACAATGGCCACAAACACAAACAAACTAATTTTACGTGGTTCGGCAAACTGCCTACGTCCACGGGGTAAGGAGGGGGAGATCTACTATTAGAAAGAAAAAGAATACAAATGGGTTTACAACTCTCACAATCTAAACCCTCAAATAAACTCTCAAATCCCTCACAATATCTCTCTACAAAAGCACAGCCGCCAAAAAGATTTTTTTCCTCCTCTGCACGAAGCCTTGTACTTTCTGTAATTTTCTCTTCTTTTGCACGCAGTCCAAGCTTCTGTCTCTGCACAAAACTTCTGCAGCCGCCTCTTTTTTTTTCTCTTTCCCCGCTCCCCTGTTACACGGCTTCGCACCAAACCCTAGGAACAGTGCTCGTTCCTATATATAGCCTGTAGCGGAGAAACCGTCTCGTGATCACAAGACTTCTTCACGAATTATTTGTGGCCCCCACTTCGTTTATTCACACCTGTCTCTTCATGCAGCGTAAACATCTCTTCACGTGGCCCCCACGAGAACACGAGAAACCGTGTCTTTAGCTGCTCAACATGCAGCGTAAACATCTCTTCACGTGGCCCCCACGAGAACACGAGAAACCGTGTCTTTAGCTGCTCAACATCGTGGCCCGCTGGACTTCTCTTCAAGGCATCTTTTCACGCGTCCTTGCTGACTTCATGGCCCCCCCACAAGCACATGCTTCACAGCTAAAACTGGGTCGTTTTTGGGGAAAAAATACCAAACTTCACCGGACTTCAAGTCCCGTAAAATTTTGTTATGTAAAAAACTTCAGAGGATTTGAAGTCCCGTGAAGTTTGGTATTTTTTTTTACCAAAAACGACTATGTTTTAGCCAACTGACTGAAACTGAGTCGCTTTTGACAAATAAGTTTCAAACATGTCGTTTTTGATAAGTACGTTTGGAAAGGTCTTGTTTTTCAAAATTTGTCCTTTTGATAAGCTATACCAGACAGCCAATATAATATTATCAGATGCGGTCAAAGGTCAAAGCGGCCGCCAATTTCCATCATTTATCACGAGGAAAATAACAGTATTTGTGGAAAGGCCACGTCGCAGAGGTGAACTGAATCCAAAGTGGGAAGTGGTCCCCACTACACGTGTGTTTATGAATTGAGAGGATCTCAATTCTGTGTTTAATTTTTATTTACGACTCCTTTCCCTCAGCAAGTCCTCTGCTCAAATCTCTCTCTCTCTCACTCTCTCTCATATTTAATTTTTAAACGAAATTTCAGTCATAAATAAATATTGGGCTCTTAACGAATTCTTAGTTCTCCGGTTGTCCCTTGATTCTGGGTCTTCGGTTTAGCTCGGAGGGGAAGGTATTTTGATCTCTAAACACCCAATTTCATTTTTTTTTTTTTGAGAAATTTTTGAAATCCATATGAGCAATTAATCTTGTTCCTAGCTTTCATATATGGGTTTTCTCTTCTCAGTCTCAGTAACCTTAAAGTTTGATTCTTGATAGTTTCAGTTATAATTTCTCTGCTAAATCAATGGCGTCGTCAATTGGGGATCAGAGTTCTAATGGGAAGAAGATGGCAAAGCAATTAACTGGAAAGAGAGATGACACTCCTCTTCATTCAGCAGCTAGAGCTGGGAATTTGGCTGAAGTAAAAAAGATTTTATTGGAAAATGATGAGGAGAAGTTGAAGGGTTTGCTGAGTAAGCAGAACCAAGCAGGGGAGACTGCTCTCTATGTTGCTTGTGAGCATGGAGACGTTGATATAGTGAAGGAAATGGTTAAGTGTTGTAGCCTTGAGAGTGCCGGAATTAAGGCGAAGAATGGGTATGATGCGTTTCATATAGCGGCGAAGCAAGGGGATTCAGGTATTGACTTGTGCAGATCCCATGATTCTTACATGTTGTAGTTTTAGTAGAAATTTTGTATTTCTTGATAGAAATTGTGTAGTTTTGATCAATTTATGATATGTGTATGTTATTGGATTTTTTTCAGTAAAAGAACAGTGTGCTTCTATGATTTCCGTCAGCATAAATCTCTAATTTACTAGTTTTCTTCTGCGTAATGTAGTTAGAATCATACTTCTGGCTCGATATAGGAAGTTAGGAATTATAGGAGATGATTTCAGACCATTTTCTTACACTATTTTAGTCGATCATAGCCTAACCTACCAAGTTAGTCGATTGTTATTTCTCTCGTTAGTCTTTTTAGTTAGAGATTGATATTTATATTAACTAGATGCTTCTTGAGTGTCCATTATCAGAAAATGTTTGAATATCATCTGACCATCATAATTATATGAGCAATTTATAGTGATAATTGGACAATCCTGCATATGCTAAATTTATTAGGTTCCTTTCAAGACTTCACCACTTTTTTATTTTTATTTACCATAGACCATCTTGATGTGAATTACTGTTAATAGAAAACCATTTGATGCCGGAAGCATAGGAGAATTCTGGAGAAATGGTGTGAAGCTAAAGGGAAATATTCCGTTAAGATTTGCATATGCATCATATATGCAGCATAACTCTCTTGAAGTTTAAAATGATTTATTATTGTTCGCATGTATTCTTTCTCGAAGCACTTATCAGTATTTTTTTAGTTCAACTATTTACTACGGGCATTTTATCTTGGCATCTCATATATATTGCATCTCCGCATAATTCTTAGGGATTTGAGTAGCAATTTGAATATGAGTCAGACGTGAATGCCATTGTGACACTATGGTGTGGTCCTATGCAATCATCTGTATAAGTCTAGTGTTCAGATCTATCTTGTTAGCCAATACCTTGATTTCATCGATTAAGATAAAGTCTTTGAACTGATGAAGTAACCATATGTTTTGAATTAACCAGATGTTTTAAAGGAACTTCTGAAGCCCCTTCCGGAACTTGCCATGACCGTCGACTTATCGAACACCACAGCATTACACACTGCTGCAGCACAAGGTCATGTTGAGATTGTAAATCTCCTATTCAAAGCTGATTCAACTTTAGCAAAGATTGCGAGGAGCAACGGTAAAACTGCACTGCATTCTGCCTCGAGGAACGGGCACCTTGAAGTTGTGAAAGCTCTTATACACAAAGAGCCTGGACTCTTGTTAAGAAATGATAAGAAAGGACAGAGTGCACTTCATATGGCAGTTAAGGGGCATAATCTTGAGGTCGTTGAGGAGCTGCTCAAGTGTGAGAATTCTTTGGTCAACTTGGCAGACTCTAAGGGGACTACGGCATTGCATATAGCAGCTAGAAAGTGTCGCTCTCAGGTGATGATTTTTTTATTTTGTCTTCCCTCTTAAACAAGAAGAACTCTTTTTTGTTGAGCTTGCATTTCTTTTCTAAAATTTTAACTCTTTGTTCTATACTTCATGACTAGAATAAGAGGAACGTTGCTTTTGTTCCTTGAATAATTCTCTACTGGAGAACAGCTACCACATGTTGGGACAAACCCGGGGCTCAATAGAGCAGGGTCGCAGCAATAGTAGAGTAAAAGTAGAGATAAAATATTGGACACACAGATTTACATGGTTCGGCACTTGATTGTCTACGTCCACGGACAAGGATAGAAGAATTCACTATGAGGAGAAAACTCTGGAGTTACAATCTCTCTTTCTAAGGAGATACTCTTTCTATTTTTTTTCTCTCACACTCTTCTATATAAGAAGTTTCTGGGATGAGATTTCCTTAAGGATTTGGAACCTATTTATAGGATTTTGAAAAACACTATGCATAATAAAATAATAATAAATTACTATGCTGTGGGGCCCGCCCTTTTGTTTTCTTTTCCTCTTTTCAACATTTGTGGCTGTGCACTTTCGGTGCTGTGGCTGCTGCTTCTTTCGGTGGGTTTGGAATATTAGGCGCCTGACAATCTCTCCCAGAAACTTCTTCTTATATAGAAGAGGTGTGAGAGAAAAAATAGAGAGAGTATCTCCTTAGAAAGAAAGATTGTAACTCCAGAGTTTTCTCCTCATAGTGAATTCTTCTATCCTTGCCCGTGGACGTAGGCAATCAAGTGCCGAACCACGTAAATCTGTGTGTCTTTTCAATATTTTATCTCTATTTTTGCTCTACTATTGCTGCGATCCTGCTCTATTGGGCCCCGGGTTTGTCCCAACAAGTGGTATCAGAACCAACTTAGGGTACTTGTATATATCTACTTATCGTATGCTCTGATACCATTTGTTGGGACAAACCCGGGGCCCAATAGAACAGGGTCGCAGCAATAATAAAGCAAAAGTAGAGATAAAATGTTAGACACACAGATTTACGTGGTTCGGCACTTGATTGCCTACGTCCACGGGCAATGATAGAAGAATTTATTATGAGGAGAAAACTCTGGAGTTACAATCTCTCTTTCTAAGAAGATACTATCTCTATTTTTTTCTCTCACACTCTTCTATATAAGAAGTTGTTTCTGGGATGAGATTTCCTTAAGGATTTGGAGCCTATTTATAGGATTTTGAAAAATACTATGCATAATAAAATAATAATAAATTACTATGTTGTGGGGCCCGCCCTTTTGTTTTCTTTTCCTCTTTTCAACATTTGTGGCTGTGCACTTTCGGTGCTGTGGCTGCTGCTTCTTTCGATGGGTTTGGAATATTAGGCGCCTGACACCACATACTTGCATATCGGTATACGTTATCCAGAATTCAGAATGAACTTCAGAATGAATATTTATCAAGTAGCTAATCACATTTCCTTGAATTCTTCTGTTCATGATAATACAGAGTGCTTGCAGTAGAATTGGTCATTCATCATGGTTTTATGTGTTATGACATAACTTCCACAACTTTACTTTCGAGGATATTACCACTTAATACGACAATATTTTCATGAAAACTACTATAACTACTTCTTCTGAAGAAAGGAACTCTGATGCAGGTTGTGAAGAGACTACTAGAACTTAAGGAGACTGATAAAAATGCCGTCAATAAATCAGGAGAGACAGCTCTTGACACTGCCGAACGATCTGGAAACTCAGAAATCCTTACTATACTAAATGCACATGGCGTCCAGAGTGGGAGGACAATCAAGCCATTAAACCCTGCACGAGAATTAAAGGAAAACGTAAGTGACATAAAACACGGGGTCCACTCCCAACTCGAACACACACGGCAAACGAGGAAACGAGTCCAGGGTATCGCAAAAAGGCTCCGGAAACTCCATGCCGAGGGCCTAAACAACGCAATAAACTCAACCACAGTCGTAGCTGTCCTCATCGCAAGCGTTGCATTTGCTGCCATTTTCACTGTTCCTGGCCAATATGTTGATTCTGATACTCCTGGGTTCACTTTAGGGGAAGCTTATATTGCGCCTCAGACGTCTTTCATGATCTTCCTTATATCTGATTCGGTGGCACTCTTCATATCTCTTGCTGTTGTTGTTGTACAAACTTCGGTGGTGGTTGTGGAGAGCAAGGCAAAGAAGCAGATGATGGCGATTATCAATAAGTTAATGTGGCTTGCTTGTGTCCTTATGTCGGTTGCATTTCTAGTTCTATCTTTTATCGTTGTCGGACATAGTCAGATATGGCTTGCGATTGGAGTTGCGATTCTGGGGACTGTGATTCTTGCAGCAACTATAGGAACCATGTGTTATTGGGTGATTATGCACAGAGTGGAGGCTAAAAAGATTAGAAGCATTAAGAAATCATCGTTAAGTAGGTCTTGGTCATGGTCTTTGACTGGAGTTTCAGATGTGGAGTTGTTACGTACTGAGAACAATAAGCTTTATGCGATATGAGTTGAAAAATTCAAGCCTTTTCGTGCTATTCTATACCGAAGTTGTAATTACTTATTGTACATCTGGAACGGGTAAGTTCCAAAAGGGATGATAATTCAGGAGTAACAGAGAATATGATGTCCTGAAGTATTGTATTTGAGATTTGAATGAGGAGGAGGAATGATCTCTTCTTTAATTTCCTTTCATATGAAATTAGTCATTTTAGTTCAGTACTTCACTCAATGGATAGCATCACAGTACCACTCGGTTTCAAGACTTCTACGATAAAAAAGTATGCCGTATTTAGTAGCTCCGCGCTGCAGTTTCGTATTTGACTATTATCATGCGCCTCATCTCGGTTTCAGATTTAAAATATCAGATGTCTTGCGTTTTCTAGGTAATCATCAGCAGCTGGAGATGTTCTCCATAGAGGACCATTTATAATTGTGTAATCGCATCAGGATTTATGTTGAGAAGCAGGGGCCAGGGAGAATCGTAACCGAGAAGGCGAGAGGGGACATATCTTGAGCTTATAGGGATACTTAGCCTTTGGCCAAGCATTCGAAAGCAAGAGATCCGAGCACATATACGAGGTAAAAGCCAAGAGTCCAACTGCACGTAAGTCTCTTACATTATTCCTATGTCTGCTTGTTCCATCTGCGTATACGATGGTGCAATCTGCAATAATTTGAATTCTGTGACATATTAAACATGGAAATATCCTCCGGTCATATTCGACTGAAATCACAACGAGTTGCGGTTTCTACTTGGAGGGGAAACTGTTAAAGTGATATGTTATTCTATGAGGTTGTACACGCTGTTATATAATTACAGTTCATTGATGGCTTAATCATATCGTACCCAGTGCATTTTGAGGGTATATGAAGATCAAATATGAATTGTGTTTCTTTTTGTAGCGTGTGTTACACACTGATGCTGTATAGCAAATACGGTACAGTTTAAAAGAATCATCTAGCAATGTTATTTATCAATTGTAAAAAATTCGTTAAGTTAATATTTCTTGATTGTTTAATATATCAGAATAGGGGATCTTTTGTAAGGTAACAGGGCCTTTCTGTCGATAAATTTTCTTTTGGAAATATTTAAGCAAACTACAAAAACACAAACGATAAGCTTCATCTTTATGTGTTATTCAGAAATGGTGTTAATTATTACTTGAAAACCATATCTAAGTTCATAGTTAACTGCTTCTGATCATTTTAGATCACGAGAAAGCAAGAATCCATTATTCGCCAAAAATACTGGAAATGCTAGGAAAATATACCAAGAGAACGGACACGAAGTAGCTGGATCAATACGATGTTAGAGGGAAGGAGGTTTTGTTTTTGTTCAGGTCCACAAGGCTTTTATTTTCCTATTTAGATTCTGCTGGGTTATGATTATGTGAAAATAAATAAATAAATAAAATGCAAACGATAATCTTGATCATCTGCATATGTTCTTCAGATATGCTCTTCACTATTACCATGATATCAAACTTTTTTTTAGTGTTTGAGATGGTAAAGCTCATGAATCTAGGATTGTACCCAACATGTTTGAACAATGATCAAGTCATGCTTGATGATTTAATTCTTTGCTCTTTTAATGCTACCGACTTTGGGAAAGTATCGGTGTGATATGATAAACTTTTACTGTGATAACCGGATATTAGGGAGTAATCTTTCATTATGCTTCTACCTAACCCATGCTCATTAGCTTCTCAAAATGGAAATCACATGATGATGTATCATCTAACATATAATTATCAGCTTAGTAGGCCTCTCAACCTCTCTCTCTCTCTCTCTCTCTTTTGAAGACAGTGGAGCTTAGTGGAGAAAAGGAGTCCCTGTTATATGCTTAAGAGCTCTGCGAGTGGTCAGCAGCGTCAATGAGGTGGGTGTTTCCTTTTCTCCTTTGCCTCTAATCCTGTCAAAACTTTTATTGACATGAATGCTTAGTTTAAGGTTGCAGTTGTCTGCACCGGAAGTCCCTTTTTTTTTTTTTTTTGCCTTTTGCTTTGTGATCTAAGGAATCATTTTGCTTTGAGTGGGTTTTCGGCATCATTAATGTTGCTGAATGCGACTGTCGATCAACCTGATGGCAGCCAGATGGTTGTTCGATCATCGTACTCATAATTATGATTTGCATGTTGTTGTCTGTTACAGAACAACTGTATGTGTTAATCTAATGCATGTCTCTCCCTTTTTTTTTTTTTTTTTTTTTGCCGAGACAATGGTAAGTGTGGCGGTTCGGTCGTGTTAATTAATTAATTGGTAATGCTTTCTACCGAGATCAAGCATTCATGTATCTCTACCGATAACTTCATATTTAACACAAATCACTAGATCTCTTCTTGCTTTGACGTGAAAAGAAGCTTTACACAGTTGTCAGCTTCATCTTTCAAGCGACGGAGACCGTGATTGAATCATGCTGGTTGATGCGCGGGGTCTTGTTCATCTCTAATAAAGCTATTCGCTTTATCCAAATAAAAATTCGCGCGCCGTAGATGAACGAAATATTATTTTCTGTTCTTGGGTGCAGACTTTTGCTCCTGGTTCTTGTGACCGCATCTCTTTACCAAGAGAGTTTCCGCCAGAAATGGTATGTAAAAAAAAAATTCACTGTAGCCTGTTATATTTACCCACTAGACTTGAATTGAATGCTCCTGTCAGAGAGAAGTTTACACTCTAGCCTGCTGTAGGGGTGGCAATTTATGACACGACCCGACCCGTTTATTATGGGTATGAGTCGAATTACATGGGTCGGGTCATAAACGGGTCAACCTGAACCGACCCATTTATTAAATGGGTCAATTCAGGTTGATCCGAACTGACCCGTATAAACTAACACCGACCCGATAACATCCACCCAGTAACCCATCGTCCCTTCGTCTCTCATAAACGAAGCCCTAGATTTCTCTCTCTCCTCCGAGCGGCGGCGAGCGGCAACTCTCTTGGTAAAGAACAACAGGTTGGACGGTGTAGAGAACAGTATTTAAATGCCTGTTTAGTGCGTTAATCACATCGCTAATGCTTTCGACGTGGACCGAACGGTTATTTATGATCCCTTCTTGCTTTGGTGTAAAACGAAGAATTAACTTAATCGAGCACCTTAATAGAGGCCGTGACCGAATTATGTTGTTCTACGTCTAGCTTCTTATTATCTCTCAAACTACCCACTTTAACGCAAAAATAAAAATTATGCGGTATTTGCCTTTTGAAGATGGAACTTTTGTGTTGGGGTGTTGACTTTTGTATCAGGGGGTGCTGATCTCTTTACCGAAAGAGGTTCCACTAGAGATAAAAAAAAAATTGTTTCTTCACCTTATGAATGAATGCCTGTTTGAGTGTTGACCTCATTGGGATTATGTGGTTGCTGTTTTTTAAAGCTCCCGTGACGACATCTGGAAACTATTCGGACGATACAGAACTCTACTTTATGGAGAGTCAAGCAGAATCATTTAGCTCCTGAAAACCTGACGATTTTTCAAAATTTATTTATAATGTGGTTAGGGAGCAAAATATGTGACTCAAGGACGAACAAATAGTACATATTCTCGTTGACCAATTTCTAAAAATCATATCATATCATACTCCCTTTAAAAGCACGAGTTCGGAAAAAAAAATTCATGGTCAATATTATCCTTAATCTTTTTAAATATTATATTGTTATCTTAATCTATTCTAATTATTTTATCTTCTTTGAATTAGTAACTAAATGATTTATCATATTCATAATGAGACTTAACATGTTATTAGATAAAATCTTCTTTGAATTAGTAACTAAATGATTTATCATATTCATAATGAGACTTAACATGTTATTAGATAAAGAAAATATGTTTGATATAATTTAAATGATTTATCATATTCATAATGAGACTTAACATGTTATTAGATAAAGAAAATATGTTTGATATAATTTAAATCCTTTACTTATTTTAGTTCGCAGAGAAATCTAAAAAACATATGCTAGCTAGCACCTAAATTTTTTGGGGCTTTGTAAAAAATATCCTCTAAGTTTTTAAAATTACAAAAACACCCCTACAAATTTAAAATATTATTAGAACATATTAAAAATTATAAATTTTACTTATTTCAATTCAGTGAGAAACTAAAAGTTTTTTTTACTTTGGAGAAATATCTTGTAAGTTTTAAAAATTATAAAAACACCCCTAAAAATTTAAAATTTATAAAAAACACCTTAAAAATTTCAAACCTATAAACACACTAAAAACCTACAAATAACACAAACAACCACCAAAAATTTATGGAATTCGCAACAAACACACTGAACTTTTTACAAATTGCAAAATAAAACCCTTAGCATTATAAAATTTACAAAAATCATGATAATTTCTAACCTAATGGTACATTAAAAATATAGGAATTACAAATATCCCTTACATAATTTATAATTTATTAAAAATACCCTTGAAGTTTTAAAAATTACAAATAAAACCTTAAAATTCAAAATTTACAAATAACACCCTGAGAATATTAAACTCATTAGAAAATTGAAAGAATAGGAATTATAAATAGTCTATAAATAATTTACAATCTGTAAAAAAAGCCTATAAGTTTAAAAAATTACAAAAAAAACCTTATAATTCATAATTTATAAAAACACCATGAGAATTTTTAAACTATAAACACTAAAATGAATATACAAAATTTCTAACAACCTCTAGAAAATTAAATTTTTACAAAAAATATGATGGCCACTTTAAAAGTATAGGTTTAGAAAAAACCTTTCATGGTCAATATTACCCATAACTTTTTTAAAAAACATAAATGTTTAAAAATCTATTAAATTTGAAATTTATAAAAAAAACACCCTTAAAGTTTAGCACATTGCAAATTACCCCTCTAAAGTTTAAAAATTTTCAATGGTTTTTTTGTAATTCCTTGGTTTCAATGTAATATTTAATAGTTTTGTGTAATTGTAAATTATAAAATTTTAGGGTGTTTTTTGCAATTTTTAAAAATTTTGAGGGTGTTTCTTTTGTAGTTTTCTAAATTTTCATTCTATTTTTAATGTAATGCATAAATATGTCAATTAATGATGATATTAAAGAGTAAGTTGCTCTTAAGATTATTAGGTCATAGTTAAGTGTACAACACATCACTGTTCCTAAGCAGTGTAATTTATATATGCAAAAATTTTCAGACAATCTATATAGTGGTTAAAAATGTTTTGACTCTAATATACTATTTTTTATAAATTGTATTTAATGTGAATCCATCATATAATTTTGATTGTAGTCATCATAATTATAATACATTTGATTAATTGATTATATAGTTATATAGACCATAGATTACTTTACTTTTTCACATGTACCAATATTTGGCGCTTAATAATTTAAATTATTACACTTAAATTTAATAAAATTTTAATTCCTATTTTTTTCTTGAGATTTATTCCATTAGTTACGCGTATCAAATTAGTAACTAAAATAATAATTATTTATGCTTAAATTAGGATGATTGTAGTTGGAAAATAATAATTATTTATGCTTAAATTAGGATGATTGTAGTTGGTCACTCACTATGGAATTTTCATGAAGATATATACCTTACTTTATGCTTAAATTAGGATGATTGTAGTTGGTCACTCACTATGGAATTTTCATGAAGATATATACCTTACTTTATATAACTATCTGCACCACACATGTATATTTTATAAATTTAGTTGTTAATTTAACATATTAAATTATTTTTCTTTTGTAGAAATTTCTTCTTTGACTTTGGATTGTGTAATCACTACATCATCATTTTAGCGTAAAAAAGACCTTACTTTAAATGATTTTAAGCCAATGTTTGAGTTGAACTGAAGTATATACTATTGCTGCTATGTTTATATATTTTTTTAAAAATCATGTCAACACTTTTTAAATAGAAGAGAATATTCTAACCTCTAATATTATAAAAACTAAATATTACCAATTGAGTGATTAGCAAAAGAGAACTTACATCAGAAAAGCATGAATAATAAGATAAAGAGAAAATGTAATGGTATTGCCAACAGTACTACAGATAGCAAACTACAATGTAAACTTAACATATTTGTGGAGCCTAACTATTGGCTATAAGCATTGATGTTTTCATATATGTACTTTATAATTTATTAAAAAATATCATATAATCTTATATAATAAAATTGATTTAATACTAAATAGTAATATCTTTATAATTTATTAAAAAATATCATATAATCTTATATAATAAAATTGATTTAATACTAAATAGTAATATCATTGTAATAATATCATTATATCTTATATAATAAAATTGATTTAATACTAAATAGTAATATCATTGTAATAATATCATTATTAGGAAAAAATCTTCACGAACCAATATGTTTTTTTACAACATATTAGCCATGCACTCTAAATTATTGTGTCTTTTATAGAGTCAAAAAGTTTGAATACGAGTCTCTAACATGTTGCTCTCATAACAACAAAATCTACTTTGTAGATGCAGATATTCCAGATGAGTTATACATTCTATATACAATACAACTGTCCTAGGCAAGTGAATTATAATAACATTTTTCATTCACATCGTTTAGGGTAAGATTTGATAAGGATCTTGTATTAAAGGAAAAAAATTATATTTAGAGCACATGACAAAATATATCATAATCTCTCTGCTCTAATTTCGCAAAAAAATAATTCTTCATACTTTCAGTTTTACTTCTATAATACAGAGAAGAAGCTATAAAATTGAATGAGAATATTGCATAATGTAAATATGAGTGGAACCATAACTAAAAGTTAATGTGAATATGAGTCAAATCATAACTAAAAGTTTAATGGACATATTGCAAGTAGATTCATATAAAAAATTCCTTTACGAATTGAATGATCACCCGTCTTTTGAAGACTTCAAGATATTAATAAACAAAGATGTTGTACTAGATTAATGTGTTTATAACTCACAAATAGTAGATCACGTGACTACAGCCTGGGTTGAAGAAGGGAACAATGATGATATTTCAGTTGAAAGAAAGAGAGAGAGATTATTGAGTTGATAATCAATCCCACAAAAAACTTTATTTTTTATTTTTATTCTATTTTTTATTAATTTATTAAATAATTATGATATTTAACCACGTGCGTGCATCTCAACTGGTAGTAATAATAACAATAATAATAGATCCCCGTAGTTTTTTTTCCCCTCTTGCAATACTTCCATATAACCCAGTCAATTCTTATAATTCTGACCCTACTTACCTAACTACTGCCCAAGCAAATCAAAAAAAAAAAAAAATTATCACATCACAGTTTGGATCAGACCAAGTTCGTCAAGGACGGAGAACAAATGTACAGGCTTTACAGTCACTGTCCCGTTCGAAACTATTAAAAGACTGAGCGCAAGAAATTCACACAGATTACATCACCTCTTAATTTCTCTCCTCGCGTTCCGCATCGGCCTGGTCCCGACTTCAGGTAGAACTCGACGTCGCTCACGCTCTTCCTCCCAAAGGCCTGCCGCGCCTGCTGGGACCTCTTACAGTGGGCGATCGCTCCCTGGACCGAGCACTCTTTGTCCGAGCTCACGCTGCTGCTCCTCTTGAGGCTCGAAGAGGACGAGGAGTCGGACGACGAGCAGGAGGAGGAGGAGGAGGAGGAGAATTGTTCGAGACCTCCTCTTGAGCACGGTGGCAGCCCCCGAGAACGATCTCCTGTGTGCGCGCCGCATTCTCCCCCCGCCGCCTCCCTCTCCCGATTCCTCTTTCCTCAGGTGCCCGCTCTTGGAGGAGCATTCCTTCGGCTTGGCGGCCGATGACGACTTGGAGAAGAGAGACTGAATGTAGGCCTTGGACGCCCTGAGCTTGAGGCGCGAGGGATGAGGACTGCAGCTGATGGACCTCAGCTTCTTAGCCACGACCTCTTCGACGCCGGCCGCCCGCGCCGGGGCCCGCGCGGGCTCTCTCGGCACCCGGCCCCTCCTCCTCTCTCCTCCTCCTCGAAGAAGAAGTCCTCGGCTGAGCTCGCCGCTGACGTAGCAGGACGTCGCGGGGGAGACGTTGCAGGACGGCGAAGGGGGTGGTGCCGCTGGCGGCCGTCGCCGCCTGGTTGTCGGGCTTCTTTTGGAGGAGGAGGGTCTCGACCATCTGGCAGGCGAGGGGGGAGGTGGAGGGGGAGGAGCTTGCCCTTGTAGAATATCTCGTCGGCGGGGGAGGTGGCTGTGGTCGGCCTGGGGTCTCTGGAACATTTGGAACTCGAACTCTTCCGGCGGGTCTCTGGAGGACATTTGGAACTCGAACTCTTCCGCGGTGCAGCACGTGTAGCACGTGGCGGGGTTTATGTCCATGTCTATGTAGCCTTCCTCTTCATCTTGGTCGTCGACATAGCAATGGCCTTCTTTCGCCATGTCAACGTGCTCCCTCCCTCTCTCTCAATGCTCTGGCTCTTGGACCTGTAGAGGGTTTTGGAGAGAGGTTGAGGAGAAGAGCATCCTTTAAAGAGGAGATGGGGCCGGGTAAAAATAAGAAAGAAATGAGGAGGAGCTTTGGAACTATGCGAGGGTGTCCAAGAAGGTTATTTGGACTTATAGAGGGGGTGGGGACCTGGGGGTTGGAAGGCGCGCCACGCTAAAATATGTACGTACGACGGAATTGCGAGATGCTTACTGGACAACTGATGATCTAGGAGCTGACCGCTATTTGATTAGTGCGAAACCAAAAAAAGAAAGATTCTTTTTATAGGGTGTTGTTGGGTGGGTTTCTACTCGGCCCCCCGCCGCCGCGTTACGGTTGACTCACATTCCCTAGGTGGCTGACCCCTTCTATGACCAACAACTGTCTATCGTTCGATCAATGTAAAACAGGAAGATCCGGAGATGGGTATAGTGTGATCTAGGAAGATCTCCTCTCTTGGACCGCTACCTGTCTCATGCGCAGAGTCTGTTGGATAGTTTTTCCTCTTAATTAGTCCCCACACGAAGCAATATGATCAAAGTTTTTTGTATATGATTTCTAAGGTCTAATCCTCTACTTACCTTGGTACTTGATTGGTTTTTTTTTTGTCTTTTCCAGCCTTGCTTCCGTCTTCAAGGCTTCTATTCATGCATCATTTATTTATGTCTCTAAATTGATTACACTTAATGCGGCAGCCTGAACAAGGTAATTTCAAATTCAAACAAAAGGCCCATCGCCCCAAAACCTGGAGTTTTGCGCTTTAATAGCTCTAGTAGTAATCAGGACTGACTAAATATGAGCATCGGAGCCTAGCTCTGCGGGTGGCTTGAAAGCAACATCTCAACTCCTTTTTTTTTCCGCTATTTTTATTTATTCAAAGATAGTTGTATGCAACAAATGTTACTAGTACATAAAATTGAAGAAAAAAAAAAAGAGGGACCACTGGCAAAACTGGCTACAATTATAACTTTGATCAGATCTACGGATACATGCAATTATAACTCTACGCAAATTTTACTTTTCATAAGGGTAAATTACAAATAAAATCCTCGCATCTAAGTCCTATCCTAAAGTTATTTGTAGGTATTTTTTGCACGTCAAATGCTAAGAGTTCCAGTTCCTCTTTTATATAGTTGCCTTTGCATTACAAAAAAAAAAAAAAAAAGATCACAAATAGAGGTCTTTAGTAGTTAGAAGATTGATTATTAAATTTATAGTGATAGTGATAGGGGTTAACTTTTCATAGTTTATCTTTTTTTTTTTTGTAATATATAAATGGCATGTTGGTGTGACATACTCCTCCGATTTGATCTTTGTTGACAAATAAAGTAGCAAGAATATATGGCTCCATCCCTGATGCTTTGATTTACTGACAATAAAAAAAAGAAGGAATATAAAATAATTGTAAAAATTCATAGTCTGAACAAGTGTATGAAGAGACTCAATTGATGGAATTATTCTATTTTTTTAATATCAATTCTTTGTCAGCTGGGGCCTGTTTGGTTATTTCCCAAAAAATCAAAAAATAGAAATGAAAACCAAGAAATCTTAAAAAGTACAATTTCACACATTTCCATCCCTAAAACTCACCCACAACATCTAATAAAATATTATTTTTATCTAACTCATCCACTATATCTAATAAAATATTATTTTCATTCAACAACTCATCCATCACATCCACCACATCTAATAAAATATTATTTTCATCCACAACATCACTCAACTCATCTCATCTCATATTTAAAAATCACTCACATCATCCAATAAGATTATGACAACTCATCTCATCTCATTAACATTTTATTTCTTTGTTTTCCTCTCAAAAAGCTAGGAAAACAATTTCCTTAAGTGTGAGTCACATCATCCAATAATATAATGACAACTCATCTCATCTCATCTATTTTCTTATTTTTAAGAAATAACCAAACAAAAGAAAACAACCTATTATAAGAAATAGGTTTCTTATAATATTTTCTTATTTTTAAGAAATAACCAAACAAAAGAAAACAACCTATTATAAGAAATAGGTTTCTTATAATTTATTTTCTTATTTTTTCCGCCAACCAAACAACATCAAAACAAGTTTTCTTAAAAAAACATTCACGTCATCCTATAATATAAGGTGACAACTCATCTCATCTCATCTCTATTTCTTTGATTTCCTTCTTTTTTTTAGCCAACCAAACACTCCCAAAACCTATTTTTCTTAGAAATAGATTTCATTTTCTTTGATTTCCCTCTTTTTTTAGGCAAACAAAAGCAGCAGATCCTTGTGCACAATGCTCCAAAGTGTTGCGTTACTATATCGTGTCTTACCATTATCCCCTCTGCTCTGTTCCTTTTTTTTTTACTTTTTTTTTCACATAGACCCTTAATTGTTCTGTAATAGCATGTGAATACTGGGAAGCTTTACGTTTCCAATTTGACGCCTCAAAATATTTGCTTTGGTTAAAAAAAAGGCGACCATTTTGTTATTCTACGTTTACCGGTCAGAATATATTGGGAATATCTCTTAATTATCTATAGCTGTTTTTCGATATCCAAATAACATGAGACGCGGATTTGAAAATATAAATATGAGCATGATTCTGGATACTCCTTGAATGTAGTAGCGTAGTGTTTGGTGGGAAAATTCGAAGAAGACAATTGAGAATTAAATTTGTATTATTCTCTCTGACAGACTGAGAAAAAGAATTAATTACAATTATCTCGATACAACTTCTTTCTAACAGACTTAGAAGAAAAATTACAAATCTTCTTGATCAGTTTCCCGATTTACAAAAGAGAGAAGGGATCGACGGAGACCATTCCCTTTGTTTAACCTGAGTTCTTCTTGATGTCGATGGAATGCTTCCCTCGAATACTTGCGTCGAGTTTATTTCCATTGACGATCCAAACGCTTCACCTCGTGGAACGTTGTCTTCGCCTCTTGACTCGATGTCTTGGACGAACTTGCAAAGCAAGTTTTAGAACTCTGGACGAGTTTAGAAGAACTTGCAGAGCAAGTTTTGAACTTTGATCGAGTTGAGAAGAACTCTTAGAAAGAGTTCAAAAGCCAAGCCGAGTAATCTCAAAGACTCCAATGAAAGCCTTCCAAGATGATCCAAGAGTTCCTCCAAGTTGTCGATCTCCAAAGTTCCAAAAGATCGATCTGAAGATCCAAAGATTTGATCTGCTCCAAAAGATCTATTCTTTGCTGCCGAAAAGAGGATTCGAAGCCGTCCCCAACTAAGCTGGATTTTCAGCTATTTATAAGGGATTTTGGGGTGTAATAGCCCCTTAATCCGATCCTTAATGCGGGCTTAATTGCCATATTAATCGGGTGTAACAGCCCCTTAAACCGCTCCCCAGATCGTGGGTGGAAAATGGTTTTTGGAACCGTTTGAACGAGTCAAACATAGTGATGTGCGTTCTGGGTGTGAACTTGCGTTCGAACGCATGGATTCGAACTGCGTAAGCGGCTGAATCTGAACTGCGTCTGTAGCTTAAGAACGTTGCGTTTGTGCTGCGTTAGCGGTTGAAAACGCTGCGTTTTGTTGATGGGAACGCAGTGGTTGCATTGTTTCCACTTTGGAACGTAGAGGCGAGCCTCAGACGAGCTTGGCAAGCTTCAGGCGAAGTATAATGTTCAGACGAAGTCCCGTCTTGCAGATGGACTTCAGAACATGACTTGTTGCGAAGAACAGGTCATAAATTTAAAACCGTAAGTCAGAATTGGACAAATTATATATAAAAATCGACTATCTCGATAAGACGAAGCCGACCAAACCGACCCAAACCCAAAGGGTTCGGTTTGCTCCCATCAGTTTTGCCAAATTCCTTACGGTTTGAGAGATATTTGCGTTTTGATTTGAATAGACCGTCAATTTGTAGTCTCCTTTGTTAAAGCGTTGCAAAGATCGTCATCTTGTAACCTTCGTCTTGGCTCCTTGAAAATATGAGAGTCATCAGATTGTAACTCCCGATGTTGATTATGAAGGCTGTTGGATTAGGGCTTTCATCGGCAGTTTTCGTTTTAACTGCCTTCCCACGTTTCAAACTCCGTTATTTTGGCAGTTATCCACGTGATTCTCGCCCACGATGTTTCCCACGTTCTTGAACAGTTAGTGGCACGTGTAGGGCAGTTACAAAGGCGGTTTTGACCATCTGAAAACTATCTCACGTGCGAGACAGTAAATTCTGTCTGAGACAGTAAAGACTGTCTCGCGCGGCGAGACAGTCAAGTCTGTCTCGTACGGCGAGACAGTCAAGACTTGTGTTCTTCTGCCTTTTTGGATGATTTCTTCTTGAGCTGTATTTGGATATCTTTCAGCATTTTTTGACGCCTACAACTCCCAATGTTGATTATGAAGGCTGTTGGATTAGGGCTTTCATCGGTTGTTGTGAAGGTCGTCATATTGTAACCTTCATTGATCTACATGAAATTTTTTAAATTGTAGCTTTATGGAAACCGTCAAATTATAACTTCCATCATCGGTGCTTGATGAAAATCAACTATTTGCAGAAATATTTAGACAACCTACACGTAGCTACTTATATCTCCTAAACCGTTTTGTAGCAATTACGCCCCTTAAAAGCTTAGACAATTTCATTATCTACCCTCATTTTAGAGCTAACTTGAGGGATTCTTCAACCTAACGGTAAAACAGTGCGTCTGAAGTTCGAGGGGTGTAAGTGCTAATAAAATAATTTACGTTTCGTGTAATTATGTAAGATCTTGAGGGTTAGATATGATAACTCCCCTTTCGCGCATCCTGGTCGCTGATATCACTTACAGGCTCTATCCGACAGCCGAAGGTGGGCGGAGTATAAAAACTCATAAAAAGACTCGTGCACTCCAGAGCTCGAGGCCACTCTTTTCCTTTCCCCCCCTGCAGAGCAACAAATAAAAAAATTTGCAAAGCCTTCCCCATCTACAAACTATTGAAATAAAGAGCTCCAGGGGGGTTTAAGACCAAGTCAAATGGTGCTGCTCATCATTCCTTTATTAGCTTCACGGTGCTGTTTACACATATAAATCCTCAAATCCTTATGTTTTTTTTTATTTTTGTACCATTTATCCAGTAAACAGCGAGTACCCGAAGATGGGCTCGACCGTATTACCTCATAGATAATTTGATTACAGACGCACGGCTGGACCCTCGGAAACATCCGACTAAAGGAGACACTTGTATCCGAGAGTCAATTGAGTTAGACGATGAGTAAAGAATACAAGTTCTTGTGGACTTGTACTACACGTAACTAGGGAGAAATAATAAGATAGGACACGGTTTGGTTTATCACATGAAAACAAAGTGCGAACGTGGAAGGCGAGGAGAGAGAGATTCATTTAACTAAGTTGTTTTATGCACCATCAATGCACGTACGGTTGGAGGAGAAAAAAAACACAAAGCAAGAGACGTGTTTAACTCTTCCATGATCAAGCATGGCTTAGAAATAAATAAATGGTGAATACATTATTTGTGTAAACTACAGAGTTACAAAAATGCGTGTGTATCGACATATTAACAAAGACAAGGTGAAAAGATACAAATATCATAAGAAATATGTATCAAGAAAAACATGTTACTTATCTTCCGTAAATCAAAAGGGATAATATACAACCAGTCCAACTCTAAACCTCTGGAAAAATGAATCCCAAAATAATGCATACTCCTCCACTGTAATTAGTTCATTTTGCTGCTAAATCAAGAGCTTCCTATTCAATTATCATCAAACTCCCAACCTAAAGTTTCATCATTAGACCAATCTCCACTTGCATCGACAAATTCTGCGAGCTCGGCTCCCTGATACAATTGGTGTGCTTTTGCTGAGAAAGGAGATTCACTTCTTTTTGGCTTAGGTGAATCTGAAGCATTGGATAACCCCTTGGCCAACCGCCGACGAGATAGGCGCCTTGCTAATTTAGGAATCTCCAACTCTAACTTTGGCCTTTCTACAGATCCAAACTCTCGTCTCATCTCCTCAATGGAGTCAAATAATTCTTTGATCTCAGGATCATCTCTCCTGCGGTAGTAATGATTCATCATCTTCTTTACTCTTGTTTATGACACTATGGTGTCTATGTCGATAAAAAGAAGGGGAAAAAACAATGTCATATATCAAAAGGTTAATTGCAAACACGCTCCTTGTACGATGGTGGTGCAAGCACTTATACCCCCTAACTATTTCAGCACCCACACCACCATGAGGACGGCATTACTATTGTGGCCTCAATATAGAGGACAATTTAGTATTTTTCAGTTAAACTGAGGGAAAAGGGTAATTCATTGTCAGATGGTTTCCACGAGACATTTCAACTTAATTCGGAAATAATGTCGTTTGGAGTTCAAGGGATTGTGAGTGAATACAACCTCGTAGTACAAGGGACGTATCTGCGATTAACCTTATAACAAAAGATAGGATTGGAGTGGAGAAATTTATCTCACCTTGAAGCCTGAGTTTGTGCAGTGTAAAACAACTCTTTCATGCGATCAACGACGCTAAGTGCGGTAACAATCTGAGAAGATGCAGGTCATAAGGAGTAGACTAATGGTGAGAGGACACTTGAACATATTGTGAAGAACATGTATATACAAAGTATAACGTGTAACTGCTTCATGAAATATTCCTTGCAAAGACAAAACTTTAGCTTCAAAATGAAGAGGATGAAAAGCAATAACAAATATATAAATCAGTAGGTGAGTTTGGGTGACAAAGTATAATCCATCGAAAGAAAAATGAACCCAAGAGTTGTATAATTATTTCAACTATATTGGAAGTTTCAAAGAAATTGCACACTTAGATGAGTAAGTTGAGAACTCAACTTCCTATCGGTTTTTGAGATGCATGTTCCTACCATTTAAGTTTCTTCTCATCTTATTCAGTCAAAACAAAAGAAAACAGAATAAGATTTATTCATCCCTCGTAATTTCTTAGCTTATTTACAGGGGGAAAATATACCTTCCGTTCAGATTCCAAGTATTCTTTCTCAAGAGATTCCTGAGATTTCGAGTTACTTGAAGCCTCAGTATTTGCAGCCAGTGTATTCTCTGACCTGAAACATCAGATAATAGGAAAAACACAATCTATATGTAGTACTTTAAGAGAGATACATTTGGGAAAATATTGCAGTAAATATTGTTGTACCTTCCTCTCAAGCTATTTAAACTATCGACCAATGTTTTGATGTGATCGATAGAAGGTCTCAGTTCTTTCTATGAGAATTAAACAATCACAAGAAACACAAAATTATTTCTTCAATCACAAGGAATATTCGAAGAATAACTATATGCATGTAAATAGTGTTTTAACCATTTGAAAATAACTTTCCCATAAACAAATACCTTGCATGCCAAAAGGTGATGCTTGATCAGTCTCAAAAGGCAATCTCCGCATTTTTCCAGCTCAGCACTTCACCATGAAAGAAAAAATTAGTATAAGTTTTGTTAGAAAGGAATAACAAATGCATTAATAGTATAAGAAAAGAACAATAAGATATGGGGGCAGAAAATAAATAAACGAGGGGCAAGTTATTTTAGCTTCTGAGTTTACATACTTGGTCTGCTTTTCTTTGTGTTCTGTGTACGATGACTGGTAAACCCATGTCTCTTCCAAGAATTGGATCCATTCGTGTACAGTATCAGCCTCTACTTTAAATGAAACAATAGATCTTGAGAGCTCATTCTCCTATGGAGTGAAGGGAAAGTAAATAAAGGGCTTCTTGAAAAACGTATCAAACTGCTTCCTGAATTTTAGAAGTGAAAAGCTAAGAAATGGAAAACAAATTGAACCTTTGATTTCAAGTGCACAATGATCTGATTGCTTGCTTCGTCAAAATGGTTCCTCTCTTCCCTGTGCTTGTGGAGGCGTAAAGTAGCAGACTTCAGAGAGATATTTACCTAGGAGATATAATTAGATTAAATGGACATATAAATTTCAGTGCTGAAACTGCAAATTACAACTCCATTTGTAAATGAAAAGAATGGTTGCAGAATAAATGATTGAATCCTTTTCCCCCTTCATATTTTTCAAACCTGAAGATCAACATGCTTGATTATATATATCTTTAGTTAGTAGAACAGTGTTCTTCCAATTAGAAAAAACACCTTCAAAACACTATATGACCTATGAATATCGTTAAACTAAATATGTAACTGCATTTTCATTCAAAATATATGTTCTTATAATGGCTCTCCTAATTAGCGTGAAATTGAAGAACATCTAGACTTGAGATTAGATGTTTGTTGCCCCACATGTCCATGTTCCTTGAACAACTACTTTAATCACATAAGAATACCTGCATTAGATTTTAATCTCTGATTGAAAAAAATCCAGGTTCCTGTGCACTTGGCATTTGTATGGCAACCTCCAAGATTTTCCACAAAAATAGTTTCTGGTGTAGAACGAAGGTTTAGATAACGCTAAAATCCTAGACAAAGGCATATGTAACAAAAAAGAGCAGGTATATAAGATCCCATCTTGTTAATCGTGCAGTTTTAACTCAAGAAAATAAAGCGTGGTTGCAACCCCCCAAAAAAAATAATAATGAAATAAAAAATAGAAGAATATAATGAAGCGGAAAGAAGATAAACTTGGCTACAGACAGGCGCATTCTTCTCATGCATACACAGTCGATTAAGAAGAAACAACAACAAGAGCAACAACAGCTTTGTCTATGGTCAGCTCCATGAATCACTTTCTTCCCTTGGGCCTTGTTAAAGAGCCATATATTCAGATGAACCATATTACAGGATTGCACACATACAGACACCTAACAAGAAAGAGTTCCTATTAAATAAAGCAAGAACTGAAACAACAACTAAAATACCTTCATTAATTCATCTTCGAGTATGTTTCGATGCCTTTCTAGTCCAGCTATGTCAGCCTTTAGTGCCTGAGAAAAGTTGATACAGTTCTCCATCAATTTCAGTTATTTAAGGCAACAAACTAATATAATGAAAATACATAGGGCAATGTATTGATTGAATAAATTCCAGGGAAAGGGAAAAAATATCAAAGAATACAATTTTCCAATATAAAACCAACAGTAGGTCAATTAATCCTAAAACTCCATGAAATAAATATTTTGAAGATGCCGCAGTTTTTGAACATTGTGATTCATGATAGGAAATTTTTATAGTGCCAAGAAACTTTAATTAGTGCTGACAAGAAAATAATAAAACATATATGGTTCTTTAATAATGTATATTAAAATGACTCCAAATCAACACCAACTCTCCTGGCAAGCACCATCCGATATATTGCGACACTCCAATCAAAATTATACCTTGTATTGAAAGGATGGACAACACAATGTAACTTCAGTATTGTAATGTGAGTTATTAAGTAGATCCAAAATCAATGCTTACTACGACTATGAGGTTGGCCAGGGTACAGTACAAACACTGAGTAAGATGTAACATATACATGTCTGTGTGTGCATGGGGTTCTATGGTCGCTAGAAATAGCAGTGAGAACCTTAGAAGTAATTTTCAATTCAATCTATCGTAATGGGAGGCAGTATAGATAGAATTCATAGGTAACAATTATGTATAGTATGGAAAAACCCTTAAGACATAAAGAAATACAGTTATATCTGTTGTCAAGAAGTTCTATATTCATGTACCATTGAAATACCTTTTCAGTTTCACTGACTTCATGGGTTTTGGCCACACGGAAGTTGAGAGCCTCCTCTAGCTGATTCCTGCATATTATTCCGCAATAAAGAGGAGTCACGTAGTAAATTGCTTATCCGGGGAGGGGGGGTGGGGGGCATACGGTAGTAAAAGTTTGAATGCCTAAAAAATTCAAGCTTGTGTTGCTTAGTTATAACATAATAAATATTGCTATGGCATAGGTATTCAATAGAAATGTATGTGTTCATTTATTCTTCTTGAATACACAACAAAATATACATGTGTTAGTAGATAAAAACACAAACAAACAAAATGAGCCCCCTTTCTTTTAGACAACGGACAAACCTGTGATCCACAATACGCGTTTCTGCTTTCGAAGAGGAGTTAGCAAGAGATTCTGCCAGAACTTTTAATTTATCAACCTGACAATCAAGGAGAAAAGATAATGTTGGTAGCAAATGTTGACACGGAAAACAAGTGAAGTGAGGTTTCAAATTGCATCTCCTAGAAATTATTATATCATTATTTGACACACATAAGAACTATAAATTCACAAAAAATGCAATTTTTTTAGTTTTCCCATGAGCAGCAGGAAATGCTCCAAAAAATGTTGAAAAATAATGCAAAAGTCTGGCTATGCAGATAATGATCACAAGAACTTCACAATACTGCAATGAATATGCAAAATAAGTATGCACGTGAAGAAAATTAAAAGAAAAAAAAGATAAGATAGAATGATTGTCATAATGTAAACGGTCATTTCTTGTGGAAGCTGTAAAGATCTTCACCACTGACCATTTGAACTCGCTTGCTACAGAAATCATTAGCAAAATGGAGCATACTTTAGACTAGCTTAGACGAAAGTGTAGCCAAAAGATGCTACAAACAAGTAGCCCCTATTACAACTTCAGATCTTTTCCTATTGTTGTTTAGCTGAGAATAAATTAGGACAAACACAATTAGCTACGACTCTAAGTATTAGAGATATTACAATAAAAACATGCCTTTTTATCCAACAGAAGGAGTAGGGTGGTAGTGAGGGAGGATACCAATACCCGGTCAATTGTCTATAAAGTTGACAAACATGTTGTGACAACGACATTTTCATGTTTCCTTTGAGTAGACTTTGTTGTATAGTTAGCAGCTAAAGAGGTTATGTTTCAGATCCATAATTGGTAATATTAAATGGAAAGGCAGAAATATGATACCAAAGCATGCATTCGAAGCTAGATGGTACTAACCTTAGTCTTTAAAGTAAAACAATAAAAAGAAAATTACAGTCATGCCTTTTGATAATGTATCTGGTCCGAATCTCCATTTCTTATGGACCTCTTCTTTAGTAATAGCTCTTCTAGTTTGGAACACAACTGAACTTCTGCAAGTGCTTCTTTCAAACCCTACGAAACCAAATGGAAAAATTAAATTAAAAAAATAAACTTAATGCTACAGAAGCAAAGTAGAATATAAATCAAAGAAGAGAACGACTAGGTCCTGCAAATTGCAGCAAATATACAACACTATGCTACAATTTGAGATCCCTCAAAAGATTAAGAAGCTATATCATACTCCCTTAAAAGTGTGAGTATGTTAAATCTTTCCACGGTTAATATTAACCTTGATTCTTTTGGATATTACATTGTAATCCCGTCAAAATTCCTAAATCCTAATTAGAAGAAATAAAAAATATTTATAATTATTTCATCTTCCATCTACACTATCTAATACTATCTTATCTATTTATATAGCTACCTGGTTGCATCTTTTTTTTTTTCCTTTTCTACTTCTTCTTCTTCCTTTTTTTTTGTTGGCCATGTTTTGAATCACTTATCTTCAGAAATTTATTTTGTCTCTACAAGTTTTGAAGTTGGTTAGGAGTTTATCCTTAGAAGTCATTGTTAGCTCAGAAGTCTTTTGTAATTAGTATACCTCTAAAAGGCTTTCATGCTCCAGCCATGAACAATTATCAAGTCCAGAAGATTAATAACTTTTGTTTCTTTGATGCTTCCTCATCCCCACATATACCTTATATTTTATTAACTTTGAATTGCTCCAATAGCATTTACCATGTCTGAGTCTCATATTCTCAATAAACATCTCATTCTCTTTAAAAAAAAATTCTATCCTCCAGAAGCGATCCAAAGATGAGCATCTTTCTTTCTTCTACTTTACATTCCTCTTCATAATTTAATTTTCAAGGAATTGAGCTTTTCTAGGTTTAATCTTTTGTTATGGTTGGTTTCTTGAATCCTATTCATACAGTCCGTACTAAATCTGATTTTTTTTTTTGATTTATTGATCTAATTTGAATATGCATTTCTTTTCTTATGAAAAAAGAACAAGATCGAGAGATGAAAGGGAGAGTATGGCTTCAAGGACCCTCTCAAAGTACATCGTCAATATTTTGTTATGATTTGTATTTATGCATGAGCAACTCTTTGCAAAAGATTTTATGTATAAATTTATTTATATGTGACATGTCTTTCTAGAAGCAGAGCTCAAAAGTTTGCTTCATATTATAAAAAAAATACTTTATTTATCAAATTATATGCTTATGTGTCCTGTAGATCGGATACTTTGCAAATATGGATAAAAATTCAGATATGTTATCTTAGAAACAAATGATGTAAGTAAATTTGTGACTTATATTTTTTAATAATAATCATGTCCTCGTTACATATGTATATGCTTCTCTATTGCAGACAATACATGTGAAGCTATAGTGACTAATACTCCACTCATTCATAAATTTTCTGTTTAATATTTTTTTACAGTGTCTAATTATCCTCTTATATTTTGATCTATCGGTCTTTGACTATTTAGATTTCACATAAATTAGTTTTTTTGTTTATAACATATGATTATTCTGTCATATTTTCCTATTAATTTTTATTTACGATGTGCAATTATTCCATCATATTTTATCAATATCTTTGTAAACTCTTTTCCTAATGGGAGAGGTGATGCCCTGGTGTATAGCAGAGGTTGTTATTTTATTTTATTTTACTTTATTATTACATTTTGGAGTCATCTTATAAGGTTCCTGCTATATCACATTTCTAGGTATGATATCTCTTCTTTTCTAATGCACACAATTTCCGTTTCCCTTCTTAAAGGATTAACTAAATTGCATGTACTTTCTCTCCATATATGTTAAAAGTTAAAGATGAATAATAAACAGAGAAAAATATTAAATTGCAAATTGTTTCCTACCCTAACTCTAAAAGCTAAAGCGCAAAACACCGTATATTATATGTGTTCAGAGTCAGACTTCATGTGGCATTTATAAAAGAATTGCAGGAATTATCATATCGGGACTTCATGCAGAGTGCACTTGGTAGCACCCACTGTAGAAACATATATGTATATGTGTACATGTCTGTGTGAATGTGTGTCTGTTTGTGTGGGTTCGTTTAGTGGGCAGTGCACTTTGCGTTCCAGAAGTATTGTAATATTTTGCATTTTAGCCCCTAAACAATTCAAACGACTTTCAATTCTTAATAAAGCATTTCCATATCTGAAACATAATGGAAGCCAGAAACTAAAGATCAACATCACAATTACCTCCACAACTGTAAAATCCATCTTTGCAGATGCCTGTTTGTGACCCTCCTCTGAAAAAGTGCACAATGCTTCCATTCCATCGATCCTTTTACACAAACTTGAGGCTTCTGCATCTATTCTGACAAAAATAAAGAACATGTGAATGCTAGTAAACATAGTTCATGATCATCACTTAAACCAAATCCATAACCGGCATCTAATATGCAATCTACACCTACAAGACAATAACCTCATAACCTTTGATTGAAAAATGTTACGCATAAAAATATTTTCAAAAAATTTTACTTATTTGAGCCTTAGGGTGATAACACTAAGAACCAATAAGAAGATTCCATCTAGATTGATTATTTGTGCTACTGAAACTGTTCTAGAATATGGAAGCAAACAATTCATGAACATTGAGATCCAATTTTTTAAGTTGTCTATTTCCAGCCTAGGCTCTTCTGTCAGGCTTAATCCTACAAATAGGTAAATTACCCAGGATGCTAAAGGGCCTCTAAGAATGCTCATCTCCTGATTTGAGACTCTATAAGCATGTGATTGTTTTGACCAAAGGTGGACTTTCACCCTGGCTGTCATGTTGTCCATTGATGTACTTTGTCTACCGTGCGTGGCCGATTTGTTAGATTAAATGTTGTGACCTGATTCATCTACAAAGTTACATTTGGAAACCATCCTCATTTGATCTCAGTTGGGCTCATTGAATATTTACCCAGGTGGACCTTGTTAAGCTTCATGTATCACATTTTCTCGGTAGCTAAAGCAGTAGTATGGCAATATAACTTGAGAGTGCGTTCGTCTCGAATCAGGTAACAACTAAAATCAAGTCGCAGTACGGCTCCCACCTTGGGTACCATAAAAGATAGCTATGTGGTTAATAAGTTTGGATTCATGACTAGTTCAAGGGGTTGTCATTTTCGGTGTTACTAGCTCCAAGCCTTTTAGCCAACCCACCAAAGGATTTACCTTAGTTGCGCCTACAGCTCCTGCAAGTGAAGGTATCCTTCTCCCCTTTCTCAGGGTCTTGTTCCGAGCATTTCCATTTGTCTTGTCTATGCTAACATGTTGGCATAATTCAAAAAAAAAAAGACCTGATATATCAATCCTTATCAACCATGCATTTCCATTTTTCTTGGCTATGATAACATGTTGGCATTATTCAAAAATAAAGAAAAGAAAAAGACCTGATATATCAATCCTTATCAACCATTCAACCGCCTGATGAGCATAAAAATCACTTAAAGGCTTCTGATAAAAAATTTCAAATCTCGCTCATGGAAGTACATAGGGGAGTGAGGATTCTCCATTTCAGGTTAAATTTGAACTCATGATATGTTTTCTTTTTTCAGTGAAAAGAGTACACAAGAGTTTAAGCTTAATGTCCATAATGCTATAGTCAAGAAAAATTGAGACATGAAGATCAGGAGGACCATAGTACTCATGGTAGGCATGGAGGTCTGTTATAAGAACATACACGAGGTTATAAAGCGATTTATATGTAGTTTAGTATATTTGATACAAAGAAAGGCAAACATTATAAAAATTTTCTGGATATATGAATGGGTAGGTGCAGAGGGCACACCCATGCTGTTCCATGTTTCACAATTCACATGGACTGAGATTACTCCTATGTTGTTAAATATTTTGTCTGCATGCCTAGACTGTGAAGGCATCTCTATATCCAGTTTTTTGGAAAAGTATATCAAGGAGGACCTACTCTTTTGGGCAATCTATCAAGAACACATTATGAATTTTGTTGAAGGTTATAATATATTAAGTAGTGAGGGAAATATTGAACATGGATAGAAGTTGTGAAGGATACAGAAAAGCTTACGAGATGACTGGCATACACCTTATGACCTTAATCTATGTTGCATGGGTACTTCTATTTGAAGCCATACCAGTGTCGTAGTCACGTCATACCCGTACCCAACACTGAAACTTCAGTAGACTCTCCTTGGATATTTGCATATACATATTCAAATGTGTACTCGATTATGTAATACATGTTTTAAGTTAAAACACTTGTCACATACTTTTTGGACGTATATTCTATCATTCACATTCAAATTCAATTGTTGAAACTCCTTGAACATAAGTTGAGTTCGTTTCAGCTTGTACCTGGTTCAAAACTATGATTATAAAGTGTCTTCAGAACCAAGTTAAAAATAAGCAATTTTCTAATCTATTGATCTATATTTTAAAAGAAACATATAAATGTTATAGAAATTTTATTTCATAGCACATGAAATAAAAAATAATATTGATCTCATGTAACTTATTATTGTATACACATGTATGTGTAGCCGTGTCCCCGTACCCTACTTTTTACAAATTTGTCGTGTCCCATACTCGTACCCGCACCCGTACCTGTGTGCCTTAGATCTTATTTGAGATAAATGAAAATGCTCGTAAACTTGACCTAAATAAGTAACCTACTGTTGACACTCTAAACTCTTTTATTCTAGATTCAATAATTTTTGATCTAGTGAGCACAGGAAGCAAATTAGATAAAACATTTTCAATCAGAAACCAGAAAAAACTCATTACAAATATAAAGTTTAGAGTTCATTATTAGTGAATTCTGTTTCAATTGACCTTTCTCTGGAATTGTTCTTCAAAGGTGAATTCAGCTTATCATCCAATCATATTACACCTTCTCCAGCTGAGCATACCTTAGTTGCATGTACTTAAACATTGGAGCAATTAGATAAATTTTCTTCCTTCTCCGTGGCTCAAACTTACAGTACATATCAAATTTCCCAACTTATGGAGAATGGTTGGCCTTCGACATTACGTTTATCATATGTCTTTGGAGACTACGTATAAGCCTAAATAGTTGTATATAGTTAGCAACTACAGATACTAAAAAAGCATCTGTCTAATTTTTCCTGATCTCATTCCCAGAAATGAGTATAATCCTGTCTCCACTTCAAGTTTTAATAAAATATCATACTTTAAGTTATGAACTAATACTAACTCCAATCTAACAAAACCAAAGCATCACAAAAAACTCTGCACAATAACCTTGTTAGATCAGCATTCATTTTCACTCCTGAAATGGCACTTTGAGCAAACTGAAGCAATTCTTCTCGCTTAACCTGAAAATAAATATAGAATAAATAGTATCTTGGAAATATAATGTTGCAAATAAGAGATTACATTTTGTGAATGCAAACTGCTAGTGGAACTGTGTGGTATCAGAAAGTAAATGCAAACAATGACTCAGGCGAGGATACAGAATGCTGATGATTTGAATAAATATACTACAGAGATGGAACTGTTATGAGTAATATAGTCATACCAAAACTTCATCATGGTAGATTGAGAATGCTTTTGCCAGATGTTGTATTCTATTCATAATTGCATAGTGGATGTCCTTGTCTCCTGTCAAAGAGAGTCTGCATGTAATTAAGAAATACTTAGATGCCAAATCCAGCAAAGCTAGTAACTTGTGAATCTTAGAAGAAAGACAATATGTAGAAACTTCTTGGATCATATATTACATAACAAAAAATGAATATCGTTCTCTTTCTTCATCAGAATAAACTAACTGACATTTGGCTAAACCGTAGTATTAAAGATCAAAATATCAATTTATTTCTGAGAATAACAGTCATCAGCCCAAACCTATTTGCCATAATTTGAAATGTAGGTGCTCCTACCCAGAACAAAATTAGGTTCCTTTGGCATCTTGAGGATGTCCCATACCAAGTCTCTGCATGATCTTTATACATTTGAAACTTCAAACGTTTGCTATTGCATTTTCGAAATAGTATTAACACCAAGGCCGTATGCATGACTGGCAGCCTTATACTTTTCCAAAACTGTGTCAGCCACAAAATCTGAGAGCATATTTCTTTTATTGCTTTATAGTTACTGCTTCAAAGAAAATTAACAACCTTGCCTCTATGTAGCACCTGTATTTTTAAGTTCTCAAAAATTTTAAACTGTAAACCCACACAAGTTAATTTGCTAGATCGTGCATCCCAGAATCTACAAGCAACAGCAAGATTGGAATGCTAGGGACATATACAATGCTCCAAGATTCTGTGTCCCACGGCCCCCACAAAAGGTTTACAATAGAAGCTATTATAACCATTTAAGAAAACTATTTTCCAATCATAAACATTTAGTATTTTAACAATATTGGGAGAAGAATATTACTTAAAAGTAAAACTATTCCCAAGTATCATATCAGCAGTTTATTGAATCTACCTAAAGTTTACCCAATGTGCAGCAATCAGCCAGGGCCCAGAGAGAAGTGGCAAGAGATTAATTAAGGTCTTGCGCAAAATGGCTAAAACAATGAACAATCAAAAGAAGGTTAAAGAGTGTTTATATGTATAGGACAAGATAAAGTGGAGATTTTCCCATATATTCTTGTATTGAAGTTAATATAGGAGGTAATGAAGTTGAAAGAGGATCAAGTAACAAGGTTTAAGAGGTCAAAGAGGGGGACGGGTAGTTCGGTAAGTTTATAAATCAGGATTGCAGTCATTCTGACTGAAACTAAGTTTCAAATTAACCTACCCAATTAATATACGAGACAACAAATTTATGCGAACAAAAATGCCTGTACTTTTTAAAGATTGCGGACCGATATGAGTTGCCGGATTCCCAATATCAATTCAGTGGAAACTGAAAGGCTATGATTTTATGATGAAAGCTATTAGTCACCTAAAAAAGGTCATGTAACCATTAATTGTAATAATGGTTTATTGAGTACAAACTTAAGAATAGAGAGGGGAAAGGAATCAGGTTGAGGAGGGAGTAGAGACTGTTGAGATCATGTATTGGAGATTCAAGAGGAAGGCAATCTATCCTTCATACTCTGCTGTTAGTAGAGAAAAATGTGGTATTCTTTTTGCGTACAGAGGCAAGTTTTCGCTGAAAAAATCATGTCCTCTCTTCTCTGGCTCCAATAACTTGTAACATCGTAATCAGTGAATGTCCTATGAGAGAATCTTCTATATCTGTCATCAAGGATGAAACTTCAAGTCTTCCATTGAAAGGATTTTAGTTAGAGTTTCCCAGGTTAAAAAAATAGTTATTTCTAATAATCTTGTTGTAATATTAAATTGCAAGCTAGTACACAAGTAGTGTTTTATGTGAAGTTATGACTTTCACAGTTTATGTAGTTTCTGTGGATCTGAGAGGTGTAAGCTCTGATTCAAATTGACACAAAAATATCATAAACATGAACATTAATATCCCATTTGCATTTTTTTTAAAATCAAGATAAAATATAAAGAGGAATAAAAAATTTAGCTTACAGGAATCACAACTTTAAAGTGGGTCAAGACTCCATTTGCAAACAGACTCACCCGAATATTTCTAGCAATAGTGAAACTTCTTCCTCATTTGGCGCATCGAGAATCTGAGTCACACAAAAAGTTAACCTGCGGTTAAACTCCACCATCAGCAAGAACACTTCCCAACATGACAATGCAATCAGAAAATGTGAACATAAGTATAAAGGGTGCCTTCATTCAAAACAAAATGATTGACAGTCTGCGCCACTTTCCATGCAGATAATGTCAATTACATTACACTCGATAATGGTACTTATTTAAATTGATCGAGTTCAATTTCCAACCACTTAGTCCTTGTCTCCTAGGCTCTTAGCATTTGAAAATACTAATCTACTATCAACAGCACTAATGCGCACTTCAGATGCTATCTACAGTTTATGTTTATCTATTATATCAATAAACAGAAGCAGGTAGAATAAAGTAGAGAAGTATAGCGTGCGGACTAGAAAATCAAGTGAAATGATGAACATCACAGGAAGATAAAATGTTGACATGAAATAGATCTCATGAAACTAATTACTCTGGTCACAGGGAGTTCCAGTGTGCTTTACTATATTCTGGAGAACAAAATGATAAAAGGGACACAGAGTCAAGTCCCTGGCTCCCATTTTCAAAATGTAGTTGCTCTTCATACTAACTGAAGTATAGAAAATATACAGAGACCTAGAAGGAATTTTGCCAATACGCTTGGATATATGGTAAAGGAAATATATAAAAACTGGTATTTCAGATTACAATAGAATCAAAGCAAGTTATTTTCTGTTAACTAAGTGTTTATCAAAACTGAGGAGTTCAGTTCTTTATTTGAGAACTTCTATATTCAAAATTACCTATCGACTTTCACATAATTATAAATAACAAAGGTATAGTGAATAAGAAAATGGAAGGAAAATGATAAAGACGTGTAACATTAAAGCTGGAGACTGTTAAGTGTTAACAAAGAGTTCAGCACTAGAAAAAGACAAAGAAGCATAATCATAGAAGTCGGGAACGCGGTGCGCTATAGCGAACTGTGACCTAGGTTCAATCGTCCTAGATTTACGTGGAACCAGGGACGAAGCCAGAAAATTTATCTCATGGGGGCCAAGAATCCAAGATACATAAGCCCTCTTTTTTATTCATCAAAAAAGAAAAAGAATAATACCAACTTCAAATTAAATTTGTATGCTTTTTTCAGTTAAAGATATCAATTTAATAATATTGAGATGCTACATACCAACAAGCTAATAAAGCAAATCCCTTATACAGCTGTGGTTGACATTGTGAAAACGTGATTGAATAAGTAAATTAACAAAAACTTAAAAACATCTTGTGAGGCTAGACTCAGATTATTAAACTATATAGTTTATTTGATCAGATAAAAAAGATTAGTCAATAATTCAAGAATTGTAAAGATTAAGGTGAGAATTTTTACCTGAATAAAAAGGAAGGCCATGTTGTTAAAGCTCAAAATTGAGAAATTTCATGTTGTTTTGAGAAGCTCCTCTCTTTCTTTCTTTTTCTTTTCTAGTAAAAGAATGCCTACCTCTTATTTATTTTTATTTTTTGGGGGGTAGGCAAATGGCCTTTTATTATCCACTGGGCCTTTAATGGGTTAAACTCAATTATACATATAGGGCCATCAATTAGTTGAACTTAGTTAATTTTATGGGGAGGACCAAACTGAAGCTTTTATAAAAAAAAATGCTAACCAATTTTCCTACATCAAGCTATAGAAAGTGCAAAAAGTATTTTTTTTTTTTTTTGAGGGCGGGGGG